CTTCATTCTGGTTTATTTACATGGAAAGGTAATTGTTATTATAGTTTACAGATGTTTTGGTTGCCATCCCAATTAACCCTTTAACTCCCAGATCAAATTTGTAATTCTCCTTATTATCAACCATACAATCTTACAATGTTAGTGCAGAGAATTTAGTATTGGATCAACCAATTATCCCCTAATTAATATTTTTATTTATTCTCATCACTTGTCTGCTTGATATTGTATTGATATTGTAAGGAGAAATTCTTTCTCAGTCACATGTAAGGAAGCAGGTTATTAAAAAAATTAACTTTTCATTTAGGTAATTATTTGAATATTTGAACATTTGATTTTTTCACATGTAACAGGATGATCAGAACTCCACTGTTAGTAACAATCAGGTGACTAACTTGGAAACTTGAGCACTTAGCAAATACACCTCAGCTTGCAATTCTGATGATTAAAGTTTGCTGAGGTAATTGAAATGTCAGTCCCCATGCAGGAACTTTCCACATGACCTGTACAGTCATATGCTATGAGATTTAGAAAAATGCATTTTTGTCAGTAGAAGTAGTAACAAAAACTAATGATACTGTGTAAGCATGAACGTTTGGGAGAAGTTATGGTGGTAATTGACCTTTTCTTTGCCAAGATGCATTGGGTCTGATAATTATAATGTATATCTTTTAGCTTTGAAACTTTCAACTTTGTATTAATTGTAACTGTTTACCATATCTATTTCCCTGTACCTTAAGCCCTCAAAAGTTGAAGCAGGTGAGTCAATAACCTGACTTCCTTTGTTTGGAATTGTGTGATTATATAATTTTGCTGTGTAAGTTACCACATTGTAACATGTAATACTATTATTCAGATTGCATTAAGTACTCTTGCTGAAGCTTTCATTAATGCTTGGTGTTTCTTACCAATGTTCACACCCAAACTAAACATTGACATCTTGAAATGATCACAAGATATGTGAGTTCTAAAGGGTGGAAATCTGGAAAAGCAAGGATCCTCCTTAAACTAGATGTGAAATTAATGGGGGCCCTCCCCTTTTAATTCATGTTTTTACTTTGACCTGCCTCCTCCCCTGTAATGCTTAGGGCACATAGATGAAGAAAACGTTTTTTGTATTTTGCACATGTATTTTGATATAACGCACAAAGCAAGAATATAAATACCTTAGCTTAACAAGTTAAAGAATTTAAATAAGAAAGTTGTGCAGACCATATCTTACTTTTTATCCTCTTTGGATATTTATCTAATATACACAGTCACTAACAGTCACTAACAGTCTCATTCACCCTCAGTTTCCATTGAGCTTGTGGAAAGATGATAACCTTCTTTTAATGAAGAAGAGAAAGCGTGCCCTCTTAATACAGACACTTCTTTTGGACATCATCAGCACAAACCTGGTCTAATTTGTACATGAAGGTGATTGTTTCATGTAGGCTAACCTTAAAAATCACTTGAACCTGTCATCATATGAATGTTTGACTCAGTTTTACCTCACTAGCCAACATGTAAACTAAATGAATGGAAACTTGAAATTCATTTGTTCTCCTTTTGAGGTGTGCATCAAAATTTTGAAGTCATCACAGCCTTGAAACACAGGTTTAGAGGAAATCTGCCTGTGTTTTCAAGATGTAAATCTAGGATTATGACTACTTCGAATGACTTTACTACATGCCATAAAGGTACAGGCGGGTGTTGTAAAAATGTTGGCTCAGCTTTTTCATTAAGACACATTTTTTTTTCTAAGAATCTTGTTTATTCGGCCTATGCTGAATTCTAATTTTTCAACCAACTTTTCTTCCCTTTTGAATATTCTTAGATCTCCTAGTATCAGTTAATATTCATGTAATTAAAATAATTACATGAAATCTTGCAGGTGTATGGCACATTATATTTTCCTCTGATCCCCTTGACATTTAGTTATGTGTAGGGGTTGATATTGGCTATAGAATCTAAGTGAAATTAAAGTTGTGTGCACAGCCGATGCATCAAATTTATATAATACTAGTAGTAATCGGAAATTAGGGAAGTGCGTTTGGCATTTCAAAGGGGAAATATTGTTTTTTGGTTATTGGGATAGATGAATATGCCTATGGTATGTTGTCAAATAAAGGGTTATGGCGTATTGTGAAACCTGTATTTACTCTGTGTACGAAAAGGTTTTAAAGGCTAGTTATATCGAATGGTTTTTGAGGAGGCAGTCGTCGCAGTCCATCGGGCGTGTACATATGCAAGTTTTACTGTAGTTGGTGTGGTAGTTAAGTGTTAGTAAGTAGTAAGAGAATAGTTGAAAACGTGTTTAAATGTAAGCATTAATTTTATTGAACCTTCGCCAACGAACAACCACGTCCTCGAACGTCCGACAAACTGCGATGCACGAGGCAGCATCCTTTGCGCAACGAAATTGTGACGTCATTCAAAATGGCGCTGAAAAGATGAACGGCCGGCCAATCGAACGAAAAAACACGGGTCAGCTTTCACGGTGATAGTTTCCAGGTTTGAAAAAAGTCATTGCCTACTGAAATCCTCAGTTTCTTTGCCCTGACAGCCCAACTTCATCAAAACATTGCAAACAGGAGCAATTGGCTAATTATTGATACAGACAAGAAGAGCCTATTCTCAAATACACCCTCCTCAATCCTGTTAGCTTATTGTGGGCATGGCATTTCAAACATGGCATTTATGCCGCAAATTTTCCATCCCCTGATTAATTATTTTGTAACGGTGTTCACAAGTTGTGGATAATGGTTGGGTTGAAATATAATACAAAGACTTGCCAGTAGATAGTCAAATGAAAACTTTTTTACATATCAATAAAGTTTATTGTTGCGTTTCATATTAACATTTTGCAACAACTCGATCTTCCAGTAAATTCAACTAATAGCAAACATGAGAAAATACCTTGTAAAATTTTTCAACCTATTTAATATAGCCAATGACAACATCAACTCAACCTTTGAACGAAAGAAAAAACTTGATTGATGTTTGGAATTGATTTCTGTGATGTGGAAATGAAATCCAGGTATTATCTCAGGTTTTCTTGAAGACATTCACATTATATGCAGTTATACCAGAGGTTACCGAGTTAATTAAGAGAAAATATCAGAAAAAGACGTCGTGTCTTTCCAGCCAGAGGACAATCATGAGACAAGAATAGCCAAGAGCGAAACAGTTTTAAAAAGTTACAGGTTCAAACACGAGTTGAAAATTACTTTTCTTTTTAATTTTCTACGCTAAACAGAGGAGGTTGAAACGTTAGGGAAAAACCGTGGGGTAAGCAGTCATACCTGGCAACTTCAAGAGAAGATAAGAGAAGCCCATACGATTCTGGTATATTGTTCTATTGAGTCACTGTGCTCACGTTTTTACACTCCAATCGACTAGTGATGTCTTAACGCAACGTAGTTTGCCGTCGTTTCTTTCAATTTTGGCTCATTTTCCCACACCAAAATTATAAGTCATGCTTAATAGAATATAATTTCAACTGATGCTGACATCATACACTTCATCTGAAGAAGAAAACATTCCCTATCTTCGAAAATCTGCTCAAATCATTAGGAACATCGACGAAGGTCCTAAGCTGTTTGACCATACCCGGTCCAAATCCGCCAGCGGATATAGACCCCCATTCGCAGATTTGGACCCCCCTACCTAACGTTCCTTTTAAGCATCGTTTGTATCATACTTGGTCACTAATTCTATTTGGAAGCTTTTTGCCGATGTTCTTTTCCATCACAACACAACATTCCTCAGTTAAGGTAAAGAAAAACAGCCATTTCGTTCCAATTCTGCCGCATGTATTCTGCCGAGTCGTACAGTATACGCAATAATTAAATGCTCAGTATACGCAATAATTAAATGCTCCTGCTAAAAGTCGTTCGTTAAGCCTATGGTAAGTAAAAATGTTTCTATTCCGAACAATTGGAACTCTCAGCTTATTTTCAAAGGCAAGTCAACATTAATGTCTATGTCCTAACAAAAGTGGTGACTATTACATTGAACTCAATCTTATTTTCTAATTTCAACGAATATTAAAATGGAAAAGAGGAATCTTATTCGATCTTGAAGATTCGAAACTTTGCTAGTTTCGATTTCAGTTGCGGCTTGAAGCTCTACCAAATGAGATCAAACTTCCTCAGCAATAACAACTTTGTCAATAGTACGTCACCTTTGTAACTAGCGTGACGTAATGTTCGATTGTGGTTATGTTTGACAAAACCCTACATTTCGACTTTCAAATAATTCCTGTATGTATAACTATATTCAGTTGCATCCTTCTACAATTCTCATCGTCGATAGATTCATCGAAAAAAACTTACTAGGTCCTATGCCAGTGTCGCTGTCGCAAGATGTCGCTCTTTTCCTGTCAGTTTTTGCCGGCTGTCAGTTCATCGGAACAAGATTGTCGCCACATATTTTTAGCAATGTCGCTTGTGGCCAATACTCCTTGGAGGGCCTCATTGAAACGTCGATCCCTTCATGTACCTAATTGGGGCTATTAAGTTTGGCACATGAAACATTCGGCGTTTGAACCAGGCATGTATTCCAGGCAATGTCTCGAATAAGACATTCATACGTATATTAACTCCTTGATCAGAGAAACTTTAATTTATGCGTACATTCCAAAGTTAAAAAAAATACGAAAGGAAGAGATTTGTCAGGAGCGTGGAAAAAGAGGAATCTTATTCGACCTTGAAGATTCGAAACTCTGCTAGTCTCGATTTCAGTTGCGGCTGGAAGCTCTACCAAATGAGATCAAACTTCCTCAGCCACAACAACTTTGTCATTAATACGACCTTGGTAACTAGCGTGACGTAATGTTCGATTGTGGTCATGTTAAACAAAACCCTACATTTCGACTTTCAAATTATTCCTGTATATATTACTATATGTATATGTATATGTATATATATGTATATACTATATATATGTAATACTATATGTATTACAGCTGCATCCTCTTGCAATTCTTATCGTAGATAGATTCATCAGAAAAAACTTACCAGGTTCTGCGGGAGACAAACGTTTGTTTTGCCATTTAATCACGTCCCTGCTTGTTATATGACCCTCAGTTGAACGCTAATTTTTAAGTGTGGAGCTTTGTCGATACTGTGGCATAGGAACTTGCAAAGCATGGAAACCCACATCAGTATTTCCTGAGAAACGTTTGTGGCAGCTCAATCTCTAGAAGCTAGAAGGAATTGAACTATTGAATCAAATTACTTTGTACTTCGCAATGCATCACCCATCTACGTAGTCGTACGTCATAAAGTTGAAGACAAAACAAACAAAGTAAATAGCTATTTTGGCTGGCTGTTCTTGATTAAAAAAAATGAATAAAGGCCTGTTCACTGAATTAGTTAACGCAGAAGTATAAACACTCTTCTGAATGGTTCGATACAGAAATTTGGATTGTTTGAAATGGTTGTGTTCAACTGTTGCATGTTTTTGTCATCTCAAGGTTCAAGTTCTAAAAATAATGTTTAAATTTTCCCGGAACATCGAACAATTCATCACTTGAGAAGCCAATTTCGGTTTCAGGCAGAAAAGTTTCGAATAATTTACTTTTATTAATATATTTCCTTCCGTCCTTCCGAATCAGCCCTTTGACAAGAAAGACACCTTTCCAGGATTTCTTTTAGGTTGGAACTGTTAGATAGAGCAAAATTCGATTGTTACAATACAATACAATATAATACAAATTTTATTGTCAACTCCCCATGGGGGCTTTTCAGAGACAAATATTAATAATACAGATAATCAAAAAATACTCAAAAATTGTCAAGAAAAAATTATTGAGAAACTATTTACATATGAAATTTGTGACATTACAATTTGATTTAAGATGATTAAAAAATACTCAAAAATTATCAATAAACTATTAAGAAACTATTTGCATAAAAAAATTATGATATTAAAAATTGATTGAAAGGAAGGCTTTCAGTTTACATTTGAAAATGATGAGAGATTCACTTAATTTGAAATGGGGTTTTAAGGCATTCCACAATATTACAGTCCTGTAATAAAAAGTGTCCACTTGGTTTTAAAAAGCGGTGTATCAAGCTGGGAAGATGATCTGGTCGTCCAACTGCTGATATTCCCTCTGGAGATAAAATTTGAACTTAGGTAGTTTGGTACTTGATCTGTCATAGATTTAAAGGACAAGATGGCGTCTTAGATACAGGTGGGACTTAACTGGTATCCATCTCAGGTTTTTCAGGGCAGGAGATACGTGATCAAACTTCCTTGTCCCGGAAACTATGCGAGCAGCAAAATTCTGTACTCCTTGTAGTTTGCGTATATTGCTGGCAGAAGTATTCGACCAGACGGACGAGCAGTAATACAACTTACTAAAGACGAGAGAATTAATTATTGCAACAAGTAGGTCTTTTCTAAATATATGTTTAACTCGGCTAATTTTCCCTAAGGCAGACATATCTTGTAATTTTTAACCAGAATGTCATGGTTGACACTGTCGAATGCTTTGCTCATATCAAGGAGAACTACAACTGATGTTTTCTTTTGGTCAATTGCGGTGAGAATGCGATCAGAAATGTAGATCAGTGAGGTCTCGGCGGAATGCCATTTTTTATTACAACTTTGATGGACGGAGAGACGATCGTTCTCTACCAGGTAGGGCATAAGTTGATTTAAAGCGATACGCTCGCATAGTTTTGAAAGAACAGGTAACAGTGATATAGGGCGGTACTGATTTGGCTTTTCTAGACCGCCTTCTTTCAACCCAGGGATCACTTTAGCTGTTTTCCACTCTAATGGAAAGATATTGCTTGTGAGGGACTCGCTAATTATGGAAGTCACGGATGGCAAAATAGCAGGAAGACTATGCTTGATCACTCGTACACTGATTTTGTCAATCCCCGTGGTTTTGTCACTTGGCATTGATGTAATTACCTTTTGGAATTCATCACAATTGACGGGTCTTCATCGCAATTGACGGGCCTTGTTTTTCCCTCTTGGAGTAGGATCCGTTTTTCACTTCTGAGAGTGTCTTGTTAAAAAAGTTTTCGGGTTGCTTATTTCTGCCTCTCTCTGCCAGGTGTGTTTTGAACGAATTTATGTTTTGAAGAATTAGTCGTTAGGAGTCGAAACAATTGGCCTTTAGCGAAGCCTTTCTTTGCCCTCAGTGGGTAACACTTTGTGCAGAACGTGTGCTTGAATGTCTCTGCTGCTTTGAGGTGGGTTCTTATATCAATAACAGACTCCATGTTAAATCTTTTACCCGTATAGAGAGTTGTGCCTAAGAAAATTTACTGCGATGATCACATTTCACTTTCATCTACAACCGCAGTACAAATATGAATTATTTCATATAAACTTCACAAAATAGCTCTCTAACAGATATTTCGGCCGTAAATTTGATTGCTGGGAGGTGTTTATTTTTTGTTCAATGAACTGGTTGACTACATATCTGTTGGTGTGAAAGAGAGAGATTATGTCGTCCATGTAGCGTTTCCAAACCAGCGGTTTGTTAGCACTTTAATCAATGATATGCGTTTCGAATTTAGACATGAAGATGTTTACAAAAGCTGCTGCCTTTTTGGTGACCACGGCCTTTCCCTACGTTTGCAAGTACCTTTGTTCGTTGAATTGGAATGAGTTTCGTCGATGCTTTCTCTGGGAAGGGCTTTGGAATGAGGGAAGCATCTCTCTAAAAACTTCGAAAGCTGCGTATACTATGTTTCTGCCCTCAACTTGTGAGATGTTTGTGTATAAGCTCGTAACATGCATTGAAACCAGTATCACTTCTTTCGGAAGCTTTTTTTTTTCTGAGAAGTTCATGAAATTTGCTGTAACTTTGAGATATGACCTTTAATGTTGTGCGATCGGCTGAAGAATTTGATAGCTTTTCTGTTAGTCCTCCAGAAGGTGGAGATCTTTTGTTTAATAAGTAAAATGATACATCAACAGCACGATTTCTCTTAATATTACCATTTCCATTAAATTAGTCCTAATTAAATCAATTATATCCTCATTAACATATGTTAATTTATTTAATACATTATAAATATCAAACATACTAACTTTGTACCTTTGTATAGTATCTTTTGTGACACTATCATCTAATTCGATAACTCTTTTCAGTTCTGTTTAAGGTTTTTTCATTATCAACAGCTTCATCTGCTACATCATCTGTATCATCAATAAATGGATATTTGCTCAAAAAGTCTCCTTCTTTTTGTTTTTCCTTCTATTCTTTTGGCTTGTTCTACCGTAAATGGATTTGTGTGTATACTTTTGAAGCAATAGCTTGTTAGAAGAATTTCTCTCTAACACTCGGTAAAATTCCTTTATTTCCTTGACCTGAATCCTCGGTACAGCTTTCTTTTCTTTGGGGACTAGCCTGACCTCTAACTTTACTTAGAACAACTCACTTTACTCTGCTTTGTTCAATCTCTCTTCTCCGAGAAATGCTGTGCACCAGCTTATAAAGATGACACCAAAGATGACACTTCTTAGCTGTCAATCTTCTTACATCGCGATCGCTCGGTTTCAGCCAGCGAATCACGTTAGAGTACCTACAACAGTTCCTGCGTACTAAGTATGCGCCTTCGAGTTGTTTACGCAATCACAAAATCATCTTCTACCTTAAATTTCTTGCGTTTATGATTATGATCGGCCAGAACAGAAGCAAGATTGATAATATAAAAATCCTAATAGACTTAGTAACAGAATTAAAATCATACTTGAAAAGGTATCTTACAAGAAAATTGTACTTGAAGGTTGTTACATAACAGCAGAGTAAACACAAAATTCGAAGAAGAAGGGGCGTACCCAGGGTACCACCCCTCAGAAAACTACGTGCTATTCGAATAAGTTATATAATTACAAATTCGGTGCGGAGATGAAAAAGCATAAGCTATTTACAATCAGAGTCACCTTTAAGAAGAGGTGTTGAAGGCGTTAATTTAAAATTTAAGAAATATTCTGGAATCGTGAATTTGACTTAGAATTTGACCAAAAAAAACCAGTCTGAAAGTAATCAATAATATAAGAAGCAGGAGTTTCCAGGAATTCCTGTGCGAGGTTAACTTTTACCAGAGAGATTTACAACTAGAAAATTGACATAATTAAAAACATAGCTTATCACAAAATAGTACAACAAGATCTAATCACCGTAGAAACCGAGCAACTGTTTCCGTACAAAATTCACAACCGCAATAAGAAAAAGGTGAAAGAAATTGTACTTAGATGAGACCGCCAAAAGGAATAAGAAATAATCAACCTGTCTTATTTAATTTTTGTATCGAATGGCTTAAAGTAATATAATATTTCCATTCTTTTTCCCAATACCAATATAAGGAAACCCTTACAATATTTCAGATTAAATATAGTTCTATTTTTATCGTTTAACAAGATGTCTTGCTAAAGACATTTTATAATGTGTGATATTATATACCGGTAGTATTATACATAATAACATATTACAAATGTATAATACATGACTGTCAACATTTAAAATACAAGACGTAAATTATTGTGCTGGCAAGCCCATTTTATATTCATCATAACCCCATCTTCATTGCGTATGCGGGTCATTAAAAAAAGATATATGTAGGGCAGACAATTGAATGCCTTTTATGCTGAGGCTTTGTTTCAGAATAGTATAGGTTTCCGTATTTTTTGAGGGTCTCCAATAGGTTTTTCGGGATCCGAGATGAAGTTTATTGAAAGGCCGGGCACCGGGAATAGAAGGGAGCGAGATGTGGGATTCCTGGTATGAACGGGACACGGGAATGGGCGATTTTGAGGAGCGGGATTCGGGAAATAATCATTTAAACAAACTGAGAACCGGGATGTCTGTTGACGAGAATTTAATTGTGAAGAAATTGATCTTCTCAGTTCGTGTAAAGTACCAGGCGAACTGGCGGCGGTCGGGCTGTTCAGCGACACACTTCAGCTATTGCGCGGGAATGAAAATTGTATTAGAAGCGAAGTTGCCAATTTACCAAAAATCCTCAACGGCCCATAGGGTAACAAGGCATCTGAAACTACTGCTTCTGTTGAAATGCTTAACGGCCTTGAAAAACCTCTGGCAATTTTCAGAATTATACCCATATGACGCTCCTAACCTGTTGAGTTTGACGCGGAATCTATGCGGACTCCGCGGTCGCTGGTTAACTCCATACCAATCAAAGAGGACTGTGTACTATCTTCTTTTCCAAGTTTTATTCTCGACGAA